GTGAAACTCAGACAATTGACCCCCGAATATTGCCTCTTTGAAACGATTCTGCGCCGTTGTGAGAAAAGACAGCGTTCGATCTACAGTAGAGATCCGTTGGACGTCCTGAATCACGCGACGAGCTGAAACGTGCGGAAGCGGCGGGAAATAGAAAATTTTTTCCGCACTCAGAGCTCCGGTAGAACACGTGGTTCACGGAAGGTGCTATCCGACCGACGATCTGTTGCCGGCGGCGGAGAGAAGATGATGTAGTAAGCTCGATGACTGACGGAGTCTTCTTCCACTCGAAGTAAGAAATAATTGAGCGAACTTGAAGCTTCGGGAGAGATAACTTGTACCCGCTTGCTAGGAGGCAAGCACTTGAATAGCTCGAGTTGGCGCCAGACCTCGGGGACACACAGACCTGCATAACTTGACAATTACGAGCTGTGCGGTGCTCGCGAAGTTACACAGCGATGGTCGTCCGGACCTACTAGGTCGCAGTCAATCGCAGAATCGACCTCACTTACCCCTCCCCACCAGCCATGGACAAGCCATGGCGAAGGTTAGCGCCATGCTGAGGCCTCTCAGCAGCCGAGCTCGTGAGCTGCGGCAGTCCGGCCAGAACGCGCACTCTAGGTTGCTTCTCGATGGGAACGCCTTTTCCCTCCATGCTCCGCCTATCAGCTGCACGGTTTCCCACCAATTCCCTCTCGAGGAAGCGATGGGGAAGAGGCCGAATGGATGGCACGGGCTTGTTATTGTATTTAAGCCTGGGAATACTCCCACCTGCGCACAGAAGCGCGGGAGCACAGAGCCTGATCCACCCACGACCTCGGAGTTTTGATCCCAACATCTCTTCTTCAGTTGTTATTGTTGAAATTGAACGATTTTGCCCGATGGGCTTCACTGCCCAGCCCGATCGAGGGCTTCTGGTTTTCGGTCCACTAAAACTGAAATTCCTATACGTACTGCTGTATACAGATTCCAAAGGAGCATAAAGGAGCCGATAACGGCTATCGGGATCGAGCGTCCCGGGCTGGATTCCGGGTGCGCTGACCTATTCTCATCAGAGGGATTTATGGAATCGGCGGCTTCGGTGGATTCTATGGGATTCGAGGGCGAGCGGCTCCAGCTGATCAGGGAAAGTCCCGAAATTCCCTCGAGGAACACAGTGAATTCCGAATAATGTCGAGCTATTTCCTTTTGTTTCCGAGTTCTCAACATACGCGTCAGTCGGAACTATGGCCACCTTCTAGAAGAACAGGAGCCGATTATTACCGGTGTTTATTCAAATGTGGCAACCGAGAGCTTGTTGTTGTCCTCCCTCGGTCGAACGGATTCCCACGCTGCCAAAGACGGCCTGAATGGGTGTCCATCCGCTAGCGGCACTTTCTTTCCTTCTGCAAATTCAAATCCATGCGGCAGCATTCATGAATTTTGCATTGGCTCCATCGTGTGCACTTCCAACGATTCAACCTAGATTTTCAGCGACCGTGTTAGAGATACCGGTGGTGGTGAAGGCGGTGGCGGCGGCAGACGCTCGGCAATTACCGAGCTGCTTAACGAGGATGCAAATTCGGGTGTTGTCATCATTGGCGATGACACCGGTGGTCTGTCGTGTTGCTCTCCTTGATGTCGGTTAGGTGGTCGGACCGTTGCTCTTGGTGGCTTGCTTGGTCAGTCGATCGATCGTGGGTCACCCAAGAAGCGGAATATTTGGTTTTTCTCCATAACAAAGGCCTAACAACCGTTGGTCAATTGCAGTGTGCATCCCGTTCGGAAACTGCAGCTAGCGGAGTCTCAGTCGTCCGTCATCGCAGGGAGCGAGTCCATATGTCGGACGAGTCGCTGTCGTCAATTCCGAAGTCTTCCAAAGTTCGACCCCGCTCATCGCTTCCGAATTCTAGAAACCGCCTCTGTCTCGTCGTGGCCGAGGATGGGGTTCCGAGGAATCGAGACGGGAACTTATCAGAATGACTCCATTCGGAATAGCCGTCGTCTGGTTCTGAGTTAAGTTCTAGGGAAGGATCAGCTCTCGTGTCGCAGCTCCGAATGGGAGCCCGAAAGAGGTAAAAAGTGATGAAGCGGGAAGACCAAGAGAGAGAGCGGTGAGTGGGCAGATGGCAAGCGCCGGTGCACTCCGCTGGAGATGCGCTACGATGTGAATATAGGTAGGTACATATGTTCTCTCTGTCTTTGAGATCTCGTGCTCGCTCAGAACAAGCACTACTAGGGAAACTTCGACGCCTTCATGGAAGTATTCTGGCAACTCCAGCCTCACGGGGTGGTCGGTGCAGCCTCATACCACAATATCCACAAGTTCCCGCTTCCACCTCAAAGAAAATCGAGGCTTCGGTAGACGGCGCCGACGTGGTTAAACAGCTGAGAATAGGATCTTCCCAGGGTTGAGTGGCGCTATATTTCAGGGGTCTCTATGAAAAGTATCACAGCGCTCAGAGGAATGTCCGATGCCTCGGGTGCGGCCCGCGGGAGGCTTCTCAGTGCGCGGGGCGATTCGACTTCGTCATTTAGCAGAATAATAATCCAGGAACGAAATCTCTTCACCCGATCCGCTCGCTCATCTCGATATCGTTGGTCTATCGCCGCCTAATGGATGAACAGCTGAACCTCTCGGAATGGTTCACCTGCATCGGCTTGGAGTCGGGCACTCGGGCAGAACGCCGATGTATTGATGTGAAGCGTTTTGCCTCCGGTGGGCAGGACGCGGAGATTGAGGGGAAATTGAGGACGCGACGGTATCGGGACGAGGAAAACACATTTCGATGAACCATCTCCCGGTCCCGACCGGATACGGGTAGCCCTTGACAAAAGCGTTTAGCTCAGCACCCTCTTCGACATGTGGCGTTGTTCCCATCGCTTTCTCCCTGACTGGCTCCGTCTCGGATTATCCTCAGAGAACGCATGCCAAAGGCTAAACGATGCCCGCAAGACATATGCGGCTTTCCGAACGATTGCTGTGCATTTGAATGCCAGGGCATCGCAAGTCTTTCCATGATGGTTTCCAGGCCCGGGATTCCGTGACTTGACGATTTCCGGAAGGATCGAGCCGCCGGAATTCCGTTGTGGTGCTCCGTACGATGTTTTGTTTCGTATGAGGAGGATCGACGTCTTCTCCATCGAATGTCACGGTCGTACGCTTCAAACACGCCTATGGGCGAAGGAAATGGCATACCTCATCCAGAGAAGCCCGTATTCGGGCTCATGCCACGCCGACAATTCGGAAAAACCCACTCAAGTCATCAGTGAATTTCAAGGCTGCCGGACTGCTACCCTCGAACTTTCGACGGAGAAACGCCAGAATGAATTTTCGCGACTCTCCGGTTGTTTGAATAGACGTGATAGGTCCCCCTTAGGGTAGTTGTCGGCTTCTCGCGCACGCGGAGCGGCTGGGATCGATTTATTCGACTGCGATTCCACCGGAAGAAAAGATCAGCGGGACTCGCAACATCGGTGAGATTCTGCATGCAGGAACATTTCCATCGAGTCGGTCAGCCAGAAACTGAGAAGTCGCTCGACAAGGATCCTCGTGGGCTTGCACGGCGACCGCACGACATCTGTGGCGCATCGCACGAAAGCCACGGGCATCGTGCTCTCGCAAACGGAGCGAAAACTCCGAGGACGAACGTCTTACGCTGCTCGTCTGCCGTGCTCCTTCGCTGCTAGAACAGGCTTGCGCAGGAGGAACAGGCTCTCGGTTCAAATGTTGCCGCCATTCGGAAAGGGAACGGGCGGAGCTAGGACCAAGCGGCTGCTGGTTCTGCTCTCAGCCGAGCACTAGATTCTCACACATAAAGCTGGCATTTTTCCCACGCTATCATCATTTGCTGGCCGAGGAGCGAGCTAGAGCGCTCGCCAGTGCTACAGCCGCTGTTTGCCTGCGCAGTGTTCTTTATCGGAAAGTTTTTCGTCCGCTCTTCAGTGACCGCCCGATTCATGGGATCGTATGCTATGTTGTTGTCGTCGGAGCCGCACACGGCGCCCTGAGCAGCAGTCCGCCGCTCGCTAACAAACGAGAAGACCCGCCACCAGCACAGGCAGCGCAACCGCCGTTGAGGAGGCACCCGTAGTGTGCATACGCTCATCGTCGTCTGCTCTGGGGTCTGTTCCTGCTGCTGCTGCTGCTGCTAGTGCTGTTCCCCTTTCAAGTGGCTATTCGCTTGAGTTTCGGTTCCTTCGACTAGTTTGTGCATAGGGTAGCGAAGACTCGTTTTTCGTGCATACCTCCGCTTGCCAGTGTCGACGAAAGCACGAGCTGTGTCCGACGTTCGGGACCGACCACCGCAGCTGGAGTTTACAAACAAAAACAGCTCGCTACCTCCATCATCATCAACGAAATTGACAACAATAATAACGACGACGACGACTTCAGCAAGCTGCTGCAGCACAGGGGTGAGCAAAAGCAACGGACCCCAAAACACCGTATGGTCATCGGCTAGGTGAGCCGTGACATCGGCGGAATCATCTCGCGCAACTACGGGAACGTCGAGACGAGCAACCGCAACAATCACAGTGGCAACAGCAACTGCATTCCCAGAAACTACGCGAGGGAGCAAAGAAGACAACGGCTTCGACGACGATTCGATTGTTGACGCTGTTCAGCTGCTGCTGTTATCTGTGCTTGTCGTTCTTCATGCGCATGTGATGAGATTCGATGCTCATCTTCCGATCGGAAACACACCGTCCTCCAGTGGATAGATCGAGACAGTGAGGAGCACCGGTCGCGGACAGCGACTGTAAACACGAAGTACTCGTCTCGTGCGAAACCCAACGTTCTACGACGGGTGTCATCTGTGCTCGAAGAGAGATCTGTCTGTGAGAGTGATTGTGTGCAGAAAACTATTCGCAAATGTTCCCTGTGCCTAGAACTGGATACGACGGTAGGAAAACAGTGTGGTAACGCAAGACGAAGACGGCCGTGGGCCCAATCAGCCTCGAACGCCGAAACGATCCGCGAGGTATTCTTCTGAGTAGCTGGAGAGCGCGACGACCGCACCAGAATGAACGACATATACAACAGCCATCACCACTTGGGTGAGGAAGCTCCGTACCCGACGCCTTATCCAACGCCTTACCCGACGCCGTATCCGCAGCATGCTCCCGTGTCCATCCAGAACAATAATTATGACAGCTCGGCGTTTTCAGCATCTACCTCGATGGCGGGCTCGAGCCTCAACCCGAGTCCACTGTACTCGGACCCTCGAGACCACCATCTGGCGATGCTTGACTCGTACGGAGCCGATCGGAAACCTCTGGATATGAGCGCAGCTCACAGAAGTCATCCGTATTTCTCCGCGGCACACTCGCCGATGCATTACAGAGGTCATCATCCGCCCCCAGCTCATCCCGAAGAACCGCCGATGATGATCGCCAGTCTCGCCGGTTCGAATAAAGATCTCAATCATAAACAGCACGGTCTTCTCGGTCCGCCAAAACTCACCGGAGGTCATCTGCCGCCGTCGCCGTTACCGAGTCCGCCCGTGAACGCACTCGCACGTCGAAAGGACCAGCCCCTGACTCGGGACGTCATGGCCCGCTACCTCATAGAACGCAATTCCAATGATATGGTACTAGTGATCCTGCACGCGAAAGTCGCTCAGAAGTCGTACGGCAACGAGAAACGCTTCTTCTGTCCACCCCCGTGCATATACCTGTTCGGCGACGGCTGGCAACGGAAACAGGACCAGATCATGCGAGAATACGGCGACAACACGGAAGCCGGCCACCAGGCGAGTCAGCTGTGCGCGTTTATCGGTATCGGAAACTCTGACCAGGACATGCAGCCTCTAGACTTCAACGGGAAGAAATACTGCGCGGCGAAAACCCTGTTCATTTCGGACTCCGACAAACGGAAGCACTTCATGCTATCGGTGAAGATGTTCTACGGCAACGGCGAAGATCTCGGAGTATTCCACTCGAAACGAATCAAAGTCATTTCGAAGCCGTCGAAGAAGAAACAGTCGCTGAAAAACGCTGATCTCTGCATTGCTTCGGGTACCAAGGTGGCGCTGTTCAATAGGCTGCGCTCGCAGACCGTGTCCACCCGGTATTTGCATGTGGAAAATGACAATTTCCATGCGTCGTCGACCCAATGGGGGGCGTTCGAGATCCATCTGTTGGACGATGAAGAATCGGAGAGCGAAGAATTCAACGTCCGCGATGGTTACATCCATTATGGGTCCACCGTGAAGCTTGTGTGCTCCGTGACCGGGATGGCGATGCCTCGGCTCGTTATCCGCAAAGTAGACAAGCAGACCGCACTCCTAGATGCCGACGATCCCGTCTCACAACTGCACAAATGCGCGTTCTACATGAAGGACTCAGAAAGGATGTACCTGTGCCTTTCCCAGGAGAAGATCATCCCGTTCCAGGCGACACAGTGCCCCAAAGAACCGAACAAAGAGATGATCAACGACGGAGCAGCATGGACGATCATTTCCACTGATAAAGCTGAGTATACGTTTTTCGAAGGGATGGGTCCCGTGCGCGCGCCCGTCACCCCGGTGCCTGTGGTGAATTCGTTGCATTTGAACGGAGGAGGAGAAATAGCAATGCTGGAGCTCGTCGGAGAAAACCTCACCCCCGATCTCAAGGTAAGCAGAAGTGGAGCGCTTTCCCCTTTCATAATAATCGTTCTAGCGTCGTGGGAACGGACATCCGTCCTGTATCCTAGGGGTCCTAGGGCCCACCATAAGTCTAGTTCGCTCCACGTCGAATTCTAAGCTTGATCTGCTCCGTTCTAGGTTTGGTTCGGCAACGTCGAAGCTCCCGAAACGATGTTCCGATGCGAAGAAAGTATGCTTTGCGTGGTACCTGACATTTCGGCATTCAAGGAAGGTTGGCAATGGGTGCGTCAACCAACCCAGGTTCCCGTTAGCCTTGTCCGATCTGACGGTAAGTCCCCCCACAATCGAGTACACTGAATCGTCGGCAACGGGGCTCGACAAAAGTCCTAACCCCTTTCGGTGAATTCGGGACCTCATGCCAAATCGTATTTCCCGGAGGAGGTCTAGCCCTTCCTACGAGCCTATCGCCTCTTTTCAGGGGTCATCTATGCAACGAGCCTCACATTTGTATATACGCCGGAAGTAGGCCCCCGACAGCCCTATCCATGCGTAGGAGATATCTTAAGGCCACAAAGCCAACTGCAGAGCGTCTCACCAGGTTGTGGTCAGCAGCAGCAGGCTTCGCAACTGCAGGACGATGTCAACTCGCAGCAGTCGCAAAGTTCTACGAATCATTACATGCATTTGCAATAGACCAAGCGCTGCTCAATCTATCGGTCCGCTGACTGGAGACCGGTCGTGCGATCGGAGAACAGTCGATATCGACGCGATGGTTTGACTTACTTTAAAAAATTAGACACATCTGAATCATTTTTGTGAAATCCATTCAATACGTGGATCGCGTTGCGGTGCTACCGGTGTTATGTTCCACTAAATGTGTGATGGTCACAGTCCGATGGAAGCTCTTGTACAGTGTAAATAATCCTACAGAATCACCTATTTTTCTCCCTACCGAAGGATACCTATTTATTAAAAATTTAGGAAGTCTCCAATTTCTCATGGTTCAATGCTCGCTCACGGGTCTCCGAATCGAAAGCATCCACAGGAACGACTTGCGAACTCTTCTGTGCTTGTAGACAACCGTACTGACGCTTCTGGACAGCGCTGCCCGCGATGAGCGGGAACGGCCTGTATCTGAACTTCGGATTGAAACTATTTATTGAAGGGCGGGGGAATATTATCAGAACTCCATATCTCGAATGTGACGACGGGTTCCAAGAGAATACTCTGCGAATCTCCGGACAACACAGCATTGAACCAAAATCTTAAATTGTATATAGACCGAGGTTTTGTGTCGCGTCATGTTCTCGAATGTTTGTGAGTCTTTGTAATTTGACTGAGCATTGTCTTGTTGACATTCCACACGAAAAAAAGTGAAATCCGTGCCGAATCGAGCACGACTACATGATAATGCCCAGTAGCATGGATCGAGCGGCTGCCTGTGAGGGGAGCGTCAAATCACGCGAGCGTATACTCGGCCTCATCAAGCGTCTGTGAAGATCGAATCCTTCACTTGAAGCTTAATCTAAGTTCATTTCAATTTAGGACACAAGGGGGACGAACTCCGTTCTGCAATGGGGTGAATCATTTGGATAGTTTGAGAGGATCGCAAGTTGATGTGTGTGCCTGTCTGTTGAGCTCATTCCCGACGCGGAGTCCCACCAGTTTGTATATACAGAGTTATATATCGAGGAGATAGGGGACAAATCGGAAATGGTTATTCCGAACGAACGAATGAATCCTCTCATTAATTCAGGAGAGCGCTCGATGCGCGACAGGGAGCCTGAGGCTCCGATAAAACCACAAAGAAATACTGTACCTGTTGATACAAGTTGTATGTCCCCGGTGATTTTTGATACGGTTTTTTAAGAATCTATTTTTCAGTAAATAATTCTACAAGAAGTCAATAAAACAGAACTTCCGGATATCTCGATGATTTCTGCTTCACGGATGAGATGGTCGATAAGAACGGTTCAAGTACCGCTTTCGTGTCCTCTGAGCCGACTCCCGATCGGAATATGCGGGGCGATCTCAAAAACGGGGAATCGGGAGTAGACGAGAAAATAAATGAAGAGTCCGAGGCAGAGCTGGTCTAGACCAATAATTATCTCATAAGGGTCAAATAGTGGTCACTATTGTATGTTTCCCACGACGGCACGTGCGCGCTGCATTTCTCTGTATGTCGAAAAGAAGAAGGGCTCCATGAGGTGCCCCTCCGACCGTGGGAAACTTTCATGCCGGCGCCTCTCCGAGGGTAGTCGACCGGGTTCTTGACTGCGTTTCGTTCAACCCTCGCAGAACAGCTGCTCTTTGTAGCCAAGGCCCGCTCCTGCTGATGGTGCTCTACGCTCTTCACCACTTTTCCATCACTCGAGCAGATCTTCTCTCCGGTTTCTGAGCCGAATTCATTATTTTGTATCGACCGGACTCGGAACGAAACGTTCGTTCAGCGAGCCCGGATGCCGCAAACTCGGTGGGTCGGATTCGGGGACTTCCGGTAAAGGGACCTACCGATTGACTCGGCAGGCGCCATCCAAGAACCACTGACAACAGTTTGAGGAGTTGACCGTTCTTCTCGATAACTGTATCAAACACCACAACACGGTATTTTGACGGCTTCAAATGAGCGGAACGATTTGACACCGCACAGAGTTTGACGAGGTCACGGCGATTCAGTGTTCTGACCCGAACTCGAAAAGATAATGATGACACGGAGACGCTTGCCCAGCTTTTCCAGGTGGCGAATCATTCAGGGCCGAGCGACCGGCTGAGGATTCTACCAAAACTCACAACCTGGAGGCTCTGATTCCACAGGCTTCATCAGTACTTTTTACTGACACTCCTTCATTCGATTCGAGGTTCTCTTGTCTGCGAGGCGATCGACGTCCATGAATTTATCGTAGTTACAATTTTTGACAGCCGAAGATGTCTAGAATACAAGAAAATCTATCGAGCCCATGGAGATCGACTTTACGCCATCCGAAAGTCGGATGATCATGAGACTGAATAGAATAATAGAAACTTTTAAAACTTTGTCAGAAGCACGATAATGCCTATCTCAGTCATCAGGTGATCCATAGAGAGACTCAGACGATGTATGAATACTAGATTTTCAAGAGTTTCGCGGGTTCGCACAGTGATTTTGAGCTCAGTGACAATGGCTTCGAGCGAGTCGCTACAAAAGATGGCAACTCGATAGCTATGCCGACTCTCGCGGCACCCGCGGTGTCGAGTTCGGGAACTCAAAAAGGGGAATGCAGATAAGGAAGGTATGGAAAGTGTCGAAGCAGATAAATATTGGTCTTTAGCGCAACGCCGCGGTTCCATTGGAACAAAAATTCCCGAAGTCTAAATTGACGGCGCACTTTTCCCTCCGATGTTCTTGGGGCGCCTGTATCGTAGTGTGTCCGCGAGGGTGCGCTCGATCTTAAACAAAGGTTGCCGCTGCGGTGCCTAGTAGAGACCTTAAATGACACCCAAAACGAAAGCGGCTCTCCTCTGAGGTTCGCCGAATCGACATGGAGGTTTGGAGGGTAGCGGAACAAATGACTATCCCGGGATGAAAACCATCTCTAGATCGCCCTGTGTAATGTTTTGAAAAACATCTCCGGTACTCTTGGCCGCTCTTGCGAGAATCGGGCCATGCGGGACCTGCTCAAACGCGAGCTTCTCTCGATCTGTAGACCTTTATCCAGATGAGCACCAAATTCTAGGACTCACCTGTCGTCCGCGAATGAAGACGGGGGTCCTCGAGGACCCTCCATGTTTACGCTAGCACCCATTTTCACGAAACAATTCACGCCATATGTTCCATCAAATATCCGAGATTCTTGCACTTGCAACCGTCACACACTGTGACTGAACGTCTCAGGGGTTTCCGCGCTTCGGAGACTCTTCCTCCCAGAAGCGTCGAGAGAATCGGAAGAGATTTTCACAGTTCCGTTCTTCGGTTCAGCAAACGGCTGACCACTGGTAGTAGAGTGGCCCTGTTGAAGGCATCTCTCCCATCGGCCCTCTGGTCTCGGAACGCGGCCGCCGCGAACCTAGCCTGGCCGAGCAGACACCGTGCTGAGCCGGAAAGGTCTTCTGGCCTGCCACAGCTTCGGCCGCCATGGCAGGCCCAGTCTCGGGAGATCCCGATTGTGCCATTAGGAGCATACCAAAAGCCGACTTGGAGGTTGACTCCACGACAAAGTGAGCCTTCAGGAGCGTCCGACGGCGTGGAAATTCCGTTCTGAGAGGAAACCCGTATGAGATCGTGGAACTCGTTCCGCTCGTGCTTCTCTCAGTTTTCTCGCAGAATTTCTCCCCGGCTGTCGGTGTCTGACCCGAACCTTCCTCCCAGCGACTCGTTCGCAATACGTGCGGCTCGATCCGCACGGTATTGGTTCCTCCATGAGTGGATATGTCGATTATCTTCTCGAACGCTTCGCCATGTTTATTCAGTTTATTTGTCAACTCATGAGAGCTACACTCGCGTGGGAATCGACAGCGCATCGTATCTTCCATGTCGACTGCCTCGAACCAGTGCGGAAATCTGGAAACATTCTGCGGCTTACCTTTTTTAATGCGTAAACCGTTTGTAAATTCGGTAAATATCGGGAAGAAACTATCGGGAAGAAACGATTGGTCAAAAGACAAATAGACAGAGCTTCCTTGTAGACAGCTCATATAATGTAGTAGATAATAGACGGTCTACATCCGTTGTATGACAGGAATGTGGTATCGTTTGTGATATTGCACGGTCCGTGATATCGTACGGACCGTCTCATCGCTTAAGATGAGCGGTGAGCCCGGCAGAAGCTCTCCAGAGTGAACCTCTGATAATCTCTGCACGACGAAAGATGTGGGTCCTGGGAGAATACGCTGCAACCATGGAGCTCCGGAAGGGCTCTCTCTCGCGGAAGAAATTATCTATGCGTGTCTTCCCACTCGGCTACATTTGGTCGCCGGGGTGTGTCAAGAAGAGAGGCACGCTGCAGGGAGCGGAATCCTAGGGGCTGGGTTCTGCTACCTGATCATGGTCATTGGCAGGCTGTCGGAGGCCGCGAGCAGCAGCGGCTGACTGACAGCGGAATCGCGCGCTGATCCTGAGAGAGCAGTGTCGAGGTGCTAAGTGGTTAAAGGATGCTCGCGATTTCCATGAGAACAATAGTCGGGTTTCCTCTTCCCTGCTCGGAAGAAGTTCATTGCCACATTCGATGCCATGTCGCGAAAGCGTAGTCGGGACCCAGATTTGCCTCACAATCGACGCTGGATTAAAGGCGAGCGACGAAACGATTATCGCAACCAAGAGATTGTACTTTGGGGTGAAGAGAACCTCGCGGAAAAAGGGCGACTCGGCGATAGCGTCTTGTCTTTCCTACTCCGCCGAAGTGGGGCTCCTCACAATGAAAGGCCGTCTCCCGTCGGATCAGCGAACCCTCTGTAAAAGGGGCTTAAGCAAGGATGTCCGCTGGGCCCGATTTCTTTCATTCTGTATATGTCAGAACCAGAAGAGAGACTGGAAGGGACGGGTGTCGGATTTAAAGTACGACTACCCGGAAACATATTCAACGTTAGGTAACTGAAGATGTTCCCCATCAGGGGATTGCTATTTGCTGACGATTTAGTTCTTACAGCACAGTCTTGGAAAGACATGGCAGTATGACTCAAAGAGGTATCGGAGTTTGGAGTACAGATGCATCTCCAATTCAACCCCGAAAAGAGCGCAATAGTCAAGTTTGCGGAATGTGCGGACACAAGAGGGGTTTCAGAGGTGCAGGGACAAACACAACCGGTACTAGAGAAATACAAGTACCTGGGAATAACGCTCTGCAACTCGAAAAACTACCCGAAGGAACACGAGAAAGTCTGGGAAGAGAGGGCGGAGAAAGTGCTGAGACAGATGCACGCAAAGTCCTCATGGCGCTTCAACAGGTTTATGGTGACAAAGATATAATGGAAGAGTACAGCTGTATCCGCCCTGACGTACGTGGATTCGGTCACGAGTATGTCCGCAAGACTGCGGAAGGGACTTGAAAACCTACAGCGGGAAGCTGGTAGATGGGCCAAACTCGAACACAGCGGTAGAATTCATCCACGGGGAGCTGGGATGGTCCAGTTTCGAAGCGAGGGAGGCTGAAAGCAGAAATACGTATCTCGCCAGCATATGAAATACGTATCTCGCGAGATGAGCGAGACCAGATGGCAAAAGGCGATCTTGACGATGCTTAAACTTACCAATATGCGAACCAGGTTCCAGGATAGGAGATCGGAGCTGAGGGATCTTTAGGCGGATAAGCCGAGCGGCCTACAAGATATATGTATGTAGAAGAATCAGTACGAGCCAAACTAGACTCAGATTGGCTAGATGTCTGATATTGGAATGTGACAGCCCGCCGGAGGCCGAGTTCATCGTGCGGAGACAACTAGGGCTACAGGAAGACAGCACACCGAGGATGATCACGACGACTAAAGTGCTACTAGGAGAGTGGGAGCGGAGGAGGACTACCACCGGAACCGAAGGAGGATATCACATGAATCGACCTGCTAGAGACATCGCCCCTGCACCAGGGTCATCTGATGTATACTGAGATTGAGACACAATCAGAAAGGGTCAATAAACGATTCATCCATCCATCCATCAAAAATTCACCGCGTTACGCACTTGAGATCTGATATCTACAGAGGGTAACGGTGAGCTGCGACAAGCTCGCGTCTTCTCTTGGAGTCAGAACCGAACGAATATGCATACTTGACGACGATGGGAAGCAGACCTACCACTGAAGGAGCTCCAGGATTGAATATAATTCTGTTCCCTGTCCATCGGAAACATCTTGAAGGGTTGCACAATGGGCAGATTGCGCTCCGTCGTCAACGCTTCAGAGCATCAATTGACAAGCTCGATATCCGCCTAGCAAGACACGGGATGTCAAGGGATCAGCCAGCGAGAATCTCGTCGAGATTCTGTTTGTGTAGATCCCCTGTTCGACCAATGCACCGGAACGAGTTCGGCATGACTAAGCTTTGCAACCGCGGTTGATGAGCGCACTTGCGATTTTTCTCTGACATGGAGCTCTATGAGAGACAGCGAATGACCGCAGTCAATAACCGCGGTTTTTCATAAGATTCGCGTTTTTTTGCGAAGCTTAGGCATGACTAACATGAATGCGTGGCACCGAGGTCCGGATGAGGATGGTCCTATCATCCCGTGCCCTAATTCTGGGCGGGGCGAGACGCGCAATCGTCGCTTCAAAGTATTCTTCCCCATAGTCCCGGGTAAGGCGCTCATAGATCGCCGGACCATAACTGGATGCATGAGAACTTCGCACTCAAATCTGGTGGGAGCGGGTGCCTCGTCAAGCGCTTCCCTGAAAACTAGCTGTGGAAAATTCTAAGAATTCCTCAGGCTATCTCCGATCGGTATGGGGATTCCGATCCACCCATTTAAGCGACTCTGGAGGTAGGAAAGAATATCAGAGCTTTCGTATGTTACACCGAGATACCGCAGAGTCCGTCGGTGGATTCCATGAGAAGAATGGGAGTCTTCCCGCTTGGTACCTTGAAGCGGCGGCTGAGCGAGGAAGAGTACCGCGGGTTCCCGACTCATGCGATCTAAGGTGATAGGCCCCTCGCCATGAGGAGAAAGAGAATACAGTCTGCATTACCAATCCTCCCGCAGGACACCATGATCATCACGATCCTCTATTCTGTGCGCTTTATTGTCCGCGCAGGATGCTTGCGTCCGCCCCTCAATCTCGCTTGTCCATCACCGTCCGCTCTCTCCGATCGGGAGCGGATTAGCCTGAACAAGCCCTGAATCCGGACACCGTGTTTGCCGACTAGGCGCTCATGATTCCAGATTGCCGCGATCTTTTGCGAGCTGGAAGCGAGCCCCCTTAGTGTAGTCAAAGCTCGTGTGTTTCGAGACGTGCTTTCGCTGCGATCGCATGATTCTTCCGCGGAAAAGTCTAGGTCTAGACGATGCGACGCCGACGCTCACACCTCTGGCGGTCTCCTCACGAGATTTCTGTCATGGCAAGGACGTTCATCGAGGTTGGATTAATCTTTCCCCCAGGGGCAAGATGTCGAATATCACGGCCTGTGTTGAGAGAGCATTCATCATTCAGCACTCAGGATGATCGCGCCTCTCATATGAAGAGATCCAAAAAAACGAGGTGCATCATTCCGGGCCACTCGATGAGTGGATCAAGAGACGGCGCCCTCTGATCATCAGTCTGAGACTCTAATGTAAGACTCGAAGGAAAAAGCTGAGCGACCATTAGCTAAGGCTCCATCTCGGATAGATCCCGTTGATGTTCCTCATCGGACAGAGAACGTGAGTGGAGAACGAACACGACACCAAAAACAAGATGAAGGCGAAACTGATGACCCTCTTGAATGCCTACGATTGCTCCCGTTACCGGTCGTCCGACGACGGCATTGTGCGATGATATGGCACGGTGAGCGAAGGCAGGCGCGAGTCTACGTGGTCCTGGGTGGCCCCAGGACAATTAGGCAGCAGATTCCTCTCGCGTTACTTGATCTAAATTAACGGCAGCAGCCACCGCCGCCGTCAACGGCAAATCGGCGACTGCGACTAAGTACGACGAGTTAAAATCCACTCGATCAATTCGAACAACAGCGCCCAATGACCATTAGGAGCAAATTGTTTGCATTTGGAGCCGTTTCGTCCGTGTGTGCCATCCATACGGCTCTTCGACCATTTGTCCGTTCGATCGCTCGTTCTTGTGTGGGGATCAGAGGTCAATGATGAAAACGTCGGCCGACTGGGGTTTTTCTTCTACCGAGCACCCAGTGCTTAAAATTTTCTACACGTACCATTGTTTACAAATGTATGCCGTGTGGCAGCTGCCTCTTCGAGTATCCACAGTATTCCATCTTCGTCGACACTTTTGTTTGTACTCCACTGGAAGAGCTCCTTTTTCACAGGTGCTCCATGTCGGCGAGCCTCCAACATGAAGCTTTGATATCGATAAACCTTCTCCGATGAACAAGGGTCTGGAGTCTAAGAATCAGACACCACGGAACCTCACAAGGTTTCCGTCGCGATCACCGCTCAACGTAGGATGATGTACAGCCATTAGCTGCAGGAGGCACGCCCCTGAGAATTCACGATGTAGGAATCTTTCATTTCCCTGAAAACAGCACAATTATTCCGATGTAGTGATCGACGGGGATCCTGCGGGAATTTTACATTGCGAATCATGCTCGGGTGAGGGATGCAGGCAAACTTACAGAAATCGGGATGAAAAAAAGCGGAGCTCCGATCGGGGGAAATTCGCCCTTCCGAGGAGGTTTGTGAAAGGTCCCCGGAGAGTCTCAGCAGATGGATCTCCGAGTTTTGTGGGATTTCCCTCCCGAACAAGACTCGTTCTCAAACCGCAAGCCTGCGTTGATGCCGGAAGATGGCCTGTTCTTGGATTGCTTCAGCCGCGAGTAGCAGAAGCTTAGAAGCTGTGCGTAGTCGATATTTCGATGGTTTCTCAGATTTCTGCTCCCGAAAAATATACAGGGCTATATAGTCGCTCAGAACTTACGACGAATAAGTCAGTAGGGAGGCAGACGAAACGACGTAAAGAAAACAGGACGACCCAATGAATTTCGCACTGGAAGAGATGCATCTCCCTGCCGTACTGAACGACCGTGCTGCCTAGCCTGAATATTAAGAAACATATCACTACGCTGCGGTCAAAAACTCGAGAGCTCGAACCATAGAGCATTGATATAATATATGGATGAGAATTCACGATGAAGCGATCATTGCAACACGATCATCAGCCGATTGTCATGACTCCGGTATTCCATGGAGATTCATCCGCATCTAACCAGTCAGCCAGCTTGCCAACGAAGTATTGACTAAGGTCATTCTGCCGGCCTACGCAGCTTTGGTCATGAACTGGCCGCCGCTATTGATATAGCCAATGTCTGGCTTTCTAGCGGGCTGTACGACATGCTTTGATGGTGCACCTGCCGCGCGTCATCGTTTCCGCCGCCGCGCGGCTGCCTTCGCCGTGACAGCCGTCTCCTAAAAGAACGTACTTGCCTTCCAGGGGAGGAGTTTATCTTTGCGGGTAATGTTATGCCGCGCTGTCTCTGTCCGTAGCGTCTCGTTTGCGATGAGAATTCTCGATAGTCTCAAGCTCTGTGCCGCTTCCAAATTATTTTGAGGAACTTGGAATCAACCGCCCCATCGGCGGCCCGGGTTATCGTAAAGAATTCTTGCTTGAATCGTCTTAGGAGGGCGGGGAGAATGTCTCCACTCAGGTGTCGGCCGACAAAGGAGAAGCTGAAATCTTCATGACATTCTCTGCAAGGCACGAATCTCTTATGCCGCGTCCCGCAGATCCCCTATGCGGGACGGGCTTCTGAGACTAAATGCTGAAACTGTTCCCGCCAGCTGTTAGATGGAACTGGTGGGATGGCTCCGGTCTCTGTGATGCGAGAGAATACTTGGAAGTCTGGTACAAACAATTGTGGTGAATGATCGAGAGTCAGATCAGAGGTACTCCTTTTATTCACAGGAAGGGCTAGAGATCTCCACTGACTGAGATTATTAGCTATGGCACGGAATTCACCTTATAACCGAGTCCCCGAGCTCATTCTCCCGATTCCTCATACTGAGGAGGGTCTTCCATGATCCGCGAGGAACTATACATTGCTTCTTTGTCGTGAAGCTCAAGAGCTCAGGACCGACATATCACCTAAATAGCGCCGACTTCAATCACATCATCTACACTGCCAATCTTGCCACTGATCAGCAAACATCTGAAGATCTACAGAACACGAAGAAGATGTCGTGCTCTCCGGAGTTGATGATTGCAATGGGAGCATGTTCTCCTGCAGACTTATCCGTTCCATCGGATGTGGTGTCGAATGTTGATACGGCATACTATGAGAGTAGTGAGCGACCTGATTGTCATTGTAAGCGATTCCATGATCATCGTGAAGGAGCCGTTCGAGTGTTCTGCAAATTCACGCGGTCATTAGCTCCGGCTCCGAAAATCGAGAAGTCATCTCGTTGTGCGAATACGCCACGGTTGCGGTCCGGGAAAATTCCACCGGAAACCCATGGGGAAAATTCTGTGCCAGGGATGAGGGAGAAGTGCTCGGTACGAAGCTCGGAAGAGCGGGAAAACGCTTTGAATTGATGGACTCACCTGATATAGTCGACTGCACTCCTCAGGGTCAGCACTTTGGAGAGTTTCTTGGTATTAGCCAATGATGGGATATGATTCCTCAGCAGAGCAAATCCCTGATTCACTTGTTTCACACGATTCCGCTCCCTTTCGTTACGTCTGTTCGGCGGTGCCATCGAGGTGGCCGTCTCGGATGTCTTAGGAAATTCTTGGCCGCCTCGAGGGGATCAGACTCTGTGAGTCCGGAGGAGCGGAGCTCGTTGCGCACCGGAACGCGGTAAGCAATGAAGTACCGGGTAACTCTTCGGTCTATGTAACAAATCCCGTGTAACGAGTGCGTCTGAAGTCTGTGCGATGACTGGACGGAGCTCTAGTAGAAGCCCGCGAAGATGTACGATCACAGTTTCCCTCATCCTCTTCCGTCGTGATGCGAAAGACCGCCTCCGTAGTGCACGACTACCCCTTAACCACCATCGCGGATTTATCGAATGAGGGTCTTGGGAGCTAAGATCAGTTCATTGAAGACACCGCCCGCGCTCGCTCACATATCCGGGTTATTTGACTGCTGAGATTCTCGACGATTCTCTGCTAATCACTCACTCAAATATTCCGCGAATTTCCTCGAATTCGTCTCGATCCTCCTTTGAGGACGTGTTCCCCCTGCTTGTCACGATATCATCGCAATTGCTTGGATAGAGCGCAACAGAAATTCCGAAGCATCGCGGTGAGAGATGTTGGAATTCATGACTTACCGATTTGAAGAACATTCCGAACGAAACGGCTCTTCCTAAACAGGTGTACTTTCGGTAATAGCCGGATCTTGGTCAGAGGGCTTCCCTCGTTGCGGTGGCGGCTTGTTGAAGCTTCTGTAATGTTTTCGAAGTGAGGGTGTGTTCGAAGCCGTGAGAGGTTCTTTTTTAGTAAGATCCTTGCTGACTTCTTCAGTGGCTACATTGGCACTCCTAGAAAGGTAGCTCAGACTCCGTTTATCGAAATCGAGCCGTCCCAGCTCAGTCCCACTCGATTCCGGAACCGGGAAGTTTCGAGAGGACATCTTCAGAAGAACTCATAACCTCATCGACAAAATTCTATAGAAGCGGTATGAAGTCTTCATTCGTGCAGCGTTGCAGCGCGAGCATCGTTCCAAATCGATGACAAGACTTCTGCGGGGAAGGCGGAGCCTCCCTGACCGCTAATTTTATGCAGCCTTGAGCAGCGTTAAACGTATTCCACCTAGATCCGCCGATTCTGTCAGGGAAGAGACCATACCTAGATCGACGATTTTCGGCCTCCGCGCCACTTAGGTATATTCTTGCTCTCTTAATCGAAACAGAGAAGTTTCAAGATGAGAATACCTCGAGCCGAAGTAGAAACTTTGCATCCTTGCCGACCTTTGTAGAGAGCCACGTCACGTCGATACATGAACGGACTTTCCAGTCTGATATTTATCTCCCTGAGTATATGCAGTAGAAGTCGCACAAACCCCTGGCGCCCCACCAAAGAATGGTCGACGCCCCGTTGGAGGGGCGCGAACCGACTCTGGGAAACGCTGGCCTAGAGTATCGCGGAAGATTCGGATACCAAGGGCCTGAAGAGTTCTAAGAGCTGAAGAGATACCAAAAGCCCGGCAGGAACTCTTCTGGTACTCTCTTGTGCATCAGCAGGCATGACTGGCTTGCGGCGAGAGCGACACGGCACGGCCTCGATCTCACGGAATCGTCTACTAACGTTGACTCGAACGGAAAACGGGGCGCCTATTTTATCGCCGATTCAGCAACACAGTCGCAGTCCTTGGGGAGTCGGTCGCCCTCGTTGGATTGATAAGCCCCAGGACTGCCCCGAGAGCGCCGCATTTCTCTCGCTCTGATTGTCACTCCCCTCGAGGACTTCCGGAGGCAGACTCCGGGGACACCTTAAAGGCCTGGAAAGTTCATGGCCGCATGAACAGGCAGCTCTGGAAACTAGAAGCTATTCGCTTCACTGTCCTTTTCAGGCGACATCCGATCAAATCTATCTTCCGTGGTCGGGCTGTATATTGTCCGGGAAGTCTTCAAGTCCGGGTAGACGAGCTCACTCGCAACACTTGTCCAGCAATCGGAACCGGACTCTCTATGGGTTTGGGCAGGCCCGACGAGAGGGGGGGGGTACCGGGACTTCTTTCCCCGGGCCCAGAATTTCCTCAGGGGCCCCTAGCACAGGCTTTAGTGTGATAATGTTGTCTGCGTTCTAAAATTCCCCCCTTTCCAAAAGAGGCACGGAAGGAAACTGCTGCTCTGACCCATTCGTTGCATCACTTTTCTATTGACAGATGACAGACCATGATCGAGAGGGGCCCATGTCCGAATTTCCCCCCGGGCCCAGAATTTCTCTCTGCGGGCCTGGGTTTGGGTCTACAGCATTTTTCAGTTCTTCGGTAGCGTAGGAGAAGATCCGATGCCGTCGGGGTTCGTTGGTGTAGAAACCCTCAGAAACTTCGGTCCCTGGCCGAAGCGAGGGCTACCTCCGAGAAGTAAGAACACCTATGAGCGTATTGGGGAGATTCTGATTCTGATAAAACAAAGTGGTGTAGTGTCCAATTAAGAACGCCGTTGAGCGGCAAGGTCCACGCCGAAGGCTGCTACTTGAAGCGCTAACAAGAGATGAGGGGAGAAACCTATTGAAGACACTTCATTGGAGCTTGGCTGAGCAAATTGAGACGTTGACGTAACAATCGGAGGCGGTGAAAACCACGAAGTTACAGCGACAGCCCCAGTATTTAATCAAGACATTCAGTGATTCTGTATTATTCTCCTTCAGACGCCGATCAGATAAGAGCTTTTTTTCGCAACGCCGTCGAAGCTCGGGGAGGATAAAATATTTCTGAACGATTTCTCAAGAAGTGTCAGTTTGAGTCGAGCGCCTCAGGGTTACCGTCGCAATTCCTGATCTCTTGCTTCCATATCGGTTGTACTGCGCTCAAGTGAAAGTTCAGTCGTCTCAATCTTCTGAACTGACTCAGGTCGGTCCGGTTCTGCTGGCCGAAAGCGCCCCCATAAGTGCTTAATTGAAGCAGTCGGATTTTTACTCCTAGCGAGTTTGCTCTGAACGGTAATCCGTCAATGAACGGTTTCGAAGCGACCAAAAGTACCTATCGTCCATCAAAACGAATGCGCACGCAAAGTATACCGTTCGCTCAGTGGTTCGCAAGCGAGGGCACGCGAGGAGCTCTTAACACCTCGTGGTTTCGATCAACGGGGTTTGGGTAAACCACTAACAGCCAATTCGTCATCTCGGCCACGTTTTCCTGTCGAAACAACGGTTTACAAGACAAAACATCTTCAGAGCGCTTTTGAGCGATAGTGTCGAGAAAATAGTAAACGAAGCGAAACGGCACCTTCGATTACAGAAGACGCATTCGAGCATACGGCCCCGATAATCCGAGTCTGACAGCCAGCAAAGTTCCTGGAATTACATGCATTTCGTACCATGACAGGCATGCCATGTCGATTCCGAGAGTCAACAATTTTACAAGAAATTATGCAAAGTCTCGGAAGTGTACCAATTCCGATGGAAAACTCTCGGGGACGGAGGATGAGGAGTCGCTGAAGATTCGGTCGGGGAGAATTGGAGCATCGACCCTATTGATTCCGATGCGTCTCAGGTTACAGAGACAGTCCGAATTCCGCATTGCTGTATGTCTCAGAGGTCGATAGACGATCGTGCCATAGATTGGGAAATTGAGGCGACAGCAAAAATTTTCCTATTTTCTGCCGGCGCGTGAACATCGTCGAACAAAATCCTCGTGATTCGTGTGGGTCGGTCAGACGGCCTGCCTGCTTGCCTGCCGGGTCCGTCGGCAGATCGCTTGCCGGGCTGCTCGGCGGCAGCGAATCGAACGCACAGAACGAAAAGGCAACACACGCGCGCTTATCACAGACAGGCACAAAATACGAACGATGCCGACGAGAAGAATGAATCTTTTCCGATTCTAATTGGCTTGTGTCGAGTTGAACAAAGCCGCCCAGTTAGATAAATGAACTGACGGTAAACCTGGCTCGGTCTACTCCGGTTCGTTTTCATCCCTCAGAAATCTATCCTTCATTGAGCGTCCTTTCGGTTGAGATCCTGCTCTGCTCGGACAGAAAAGACAACCTCTTGACTTGTCCGGAGGGATATGCCACGCATTGTAGGTAGACAGACTCGTCAAAACCCATCACGAACCGTCTGGCGTGGGTGTATTCGCGGCAAATGACGCATTTGAAGTAGCTACAGAATTCATCAGGCATCCGAGTGGATTTTTGTCCATCGATAGAATAATTCTGCGTGCCGCCTCCCCCTCAGCAATTTTCCGATGCGGATATTGTTGAGCTGGCTACCGTGTGAGGTCCGTAGAGTTTCGTGCTTCGTAAGGCGGCTACCGCGAGGACGTTCCGCTTTAATTGAGGGATCGCGCTAGGTGCCGCAAGAAGTTCTTCGGCAGGATCCGCATGATCTGCATGGGTGGCAAACGTTTGGCCGACGAAAAGACTACAACGCTCTCAAAGTTATATCCGTTTCCCCGTACATACTACGCAAAGCAGATGGCATGGGGGCCTTTCGGATCATCTTCGGGTACTTTTCTAGGCTCGCTGTCAGAGGGGAGTCTCCATGATTAGTCTAAGACTTCAAGAGATTATTAACCCGTTGGGCAGGCGTACACTCCGCGCAGCTTCAGGGATGGGAAATCCACAGCGCGAGATCGGCTTGAATCTTCTCGAGGCTTCTGGCAACGAGAGAATTTTTTCATCGTTTGCAGCTTCACGGTAGCAGGTGACCAAGTCCCAAGAGACTTCATCGAGGCTATTTCCCCTTTGCTTAAGGAGTCGAATGTCCCATGTGCTTAGAGAGCCGACAAGACTAACATCCCTCGGATCGCAACGCACGAGCAAGCTTTTAGCTGGTGGATCGAAATTTTTGGCAGTCGGTGTATCATGGGTAGAGGATCGGCGTCCGTCCGCAGCTTCAAGGCGGGGGATACGACAGGGAGGTAGTAGTAGACTATAGGGTAGCAGAAGAGGGATCGCTTTCCCCCTAGATCCGCCCTGATTGCGTTCGTCTGAAGCGATACCAATTGTTATTCTCGAGTTCGTGCGCATAGCCCACATTAAGCTCCTTGTTCCACAGTTTCCCCAGGAAGAGATTTCGCCGCCGCAATCTCCTTGTCGCAAGCGGCTCAAGTAATTCCGCTACGAGGCTTGCACGGAAGTCCATTTGCATGGTCATTGTCAGCCGTCACCTTTCACAGAAGACCTGTTTGCATAGAACGGACGAATGAGCTTGAATATATCGGGGAGGAATGAGTTGGGCACTGATCCTGGCTATTGATCCAAAACATCAACGCACTTAATTGCTCCTACGCCACAGGCAGATGAGTACCCGAGTGGAGCACCAGCGAACGACTACTGAACATTTAGGTTTCAATCATATTCTGGATATCTATTCCGATCATAGAGGTACACACACTAGCTACTCCTCCTGGAGTGATTCCCATGGAGTCTCGACGTGGCCTCTTGACGTCCTCCTTGTCAGCGCAGAACCGCACACTTTCTGCTGGAGAGCCTATGGGGATGGAGGAAAGTTCCCCGCCGCTCAACTCTCCGGGAACTAAGCAAGCTAATCATCATGAGGATTATCAGAACGGCGTTCAGGAAACTGTTCAAACATATACATCGAGACTTCTCTCGCAGAGATTGAGCTCGAGATTTTCGGGGGAGCTCGGACCGATGCGCGCGAAGCGCTTCATTCTTCCTGATAATTCATATGAGTAGACGCCGTAGATCTCCTCCGTCGTTGCAGAAGTCTCCGAGAACTTCCGCGGCCGATCCGTCCTGAGTATCTGATCCCTGAGCACTCCGGAATATTCGAAGCGCGATAAGTGACTCCGCTCATATTCAGCTCATGGATTTATCAACCTATTGCTGCATCGAGTCCAAGAAGCAGTATCAGCGCTCTCGGTGATGAAAATAGAGATCTGGACAAAGCCCGCCGCAGACCTCCGCTGCAATCGCCTGAAGCTCGTTTTCAGATTTTGGCGCCGTGAGCCCTTTCCAAAGTCACGAAATAGTCACGCCCGGAGCAGCCTTCTCGTCGCTTGTAGTCGCTGACGTTCCGAGCACCTCAACATGGCGGCCGCCAACAACTAGGATCTGGATCAGCTGTTTTGTTTTTGTTAAAATTTCGCTAGCGAGTCTATTGTGCGACGGGTCAGGCCGTGGTGACAGTGAGCCGTAGGGCGAGGGCGGTGCGAAGAAAAAATAAAAAATGGAAGGCCGAGATTACGACCAGATCAGGAACCTCACGCTGATGTTCTTCATCGAGCGGCTCATGGACAAGGGCCAACCCCGGACCCTGCACGACCTGTCGTGTCAATTCGGAACGAAAGGATTCACCAAGGAAATGCGACAGATCGCTGGCGGGAGTCAGTCCGGCTTGAAGAAGTTCTTGCAACAATATCCGTCCCTATTCACCATCGAGGGCGATCAAGTAAGTTATCCCGTCGGCGGCCGCAGTGGCAAACTTCGCCCAGTCGCTGTCAAGTGACCTGCTTCGGCGGGTGTGCACGCTCCGAGCTTCTTGTCGGCGTTTTTCGTTTTATTTACTACGCCCGAAAAGGGCAGTCGGCGCGTATGGTGCTACATTGTACAGCTAGCAGCTGTTTGCTCCCAGTCTGCGAAATCGGCTGAAGTGACAATTTTCGCATCGCACCCGAGCCGCCGCGGGCACTGCCACCCCTTGTCGTTGGTCGATTGACAGCATCAGTGAACGTTCGACGTGGCTTGCGGTACACCGAGCGATTATTAGAGTCCGAGCTCATCAGACGGGTTTCGCTCGAGAGACAACGCCTTTCCTCGGACAGGCTTTATGCGGATCTCAAATATATGTTTCTGCTCCCGATCGGGAGAGTTTCTCCGCCACCGACAAGAATGCCTCGATCCAGCATGGTTCGAACCTTCATCGCTGACGGGGCGGATTTTTCTCTTTATGTGCGGCTTGTGGAGGTCGGTTTCGAGCTTCTCCAGCGTCTTAGATTCTTCTCGTATGGAATCATCTACCGCTAGGACCGAGAGCTCCCGGAGGAACGGAAGTTCCGTCGCCGAGGCCGAAGTCTCTTCGCTGATCTTCGAATTTCGTCAATGGGGACCGGGGTTGCTCTCCCTCCGAACGAGCAGATAGCGCAATCGAAAGCTCGAAAGCAGCTCATCGACAAGCTCAGAATGGCGGGTCGTCGATCGCGGATTCCTTGGCTGCACGAGGACCTGTCCAGTCCACGGTAACAGTTTGTTCAGACTTCCGAATGTGGTCTGACGTCTGAATTGACAGAAGGAACTCGAACACATCTATTGTGACGCCGCGCTGTGCCACGAGTACCACGCGCTTCCGGAAAAGCGTGCGAGTTTATCGCTTCGGTGTTTGATCGACCTCTATGTCGGGGAAACCGGTCGAAATCCGCAGAATTTCGACCGCTCGGAAGGAACCGATGGGGAGGAGTTCTCTGCAATTTCATGGGAAGCGCTCACGATCGTGTCTCACGGTAGTTCAACCTCTGTGGTCCGAGTCAATCTCCATTTCATTGGGTCTCTCTGAAATTCGAGCCGCTATTTACCACGCAAAACTCCCGCGGCAGGACGAGCTCATCGAACACTGAGACTCGATCTGATTAGAGCTTCCCAGTCGCTTTATCTTATCGCAATTCCGCGGTTCCCCGTGAAGAGTTTCCGGTGACTTCGTTGTGATAGTTCCTAGAGAGAACGCCGATAGACTTCAGCGCGTGGAATACCGGCCTACGGCGTGATTCGATTCTGGAGGACATTCGGAGCTCATGCATGCGGATCCGATAGGGGCGACAGCTTAGCTCACGGTCCGCATCATTATTCGTAGATGGAGAGAGACAGGAAGTCAATCGTCAACAGCCGATAGCCCTCGCCAGAATTGAGCTCGAGTTTTCGATTAAATTGACAGAAGCTCTCTTCACCGGAGGGCGTATCTCTTTGAAGGAGACATCGAATTTTTTGAAGGAGGAGACATCGAATCGATTTCGGAAGTCTTGTCTGCAGATGAAGTTTCCAGAAGACTGGGGCTTGTTGTGATTTACTACACGCCCAGTGGTCATCGAGTCGAAGCTCAGGACCTGCTTTCTATTCGTGAACTCCTAAGACCGGCCACAGGTCCGAGACCCATTTAGTGCTCTCTATCGATTCGCTAAATATACTCTGCCGAGAGCACGGCACTCGCGTGTCCACCCCGAATAGCCTCCGTTGCTCTTCGGTCGCTTCGAATCAAGCGTCATCGGCTAGCTGAAAGCTAAGGAACAACGATTCTGGGGTTGATGTGTGTACGATATAGTAAAAGCCCATACTGTCCCGAAGAAACAATGCTGACTGAGCGTAGCAGCGAATCATTCCGTCCGATTCAGCTCTCTCCGGTGGAGTGCCCGTGATAGCAACAGCGATCATTTTCGTGCAAACGCATCTGATTATCGCCTCACCAAATCTGTATCGATGCTCCTGCACACGCCAATGACTCACAAGTCCCGGAACACATGATGCCGGTTGTTAGCGTCATTCCAAATCGCGTCGGGAATGATCCATACCGCGGTGAATGAACGTCCACCATGAGAGCGAAATCCGAGCGTACGGAAGCTTACGCGATCGGCTGTCTCGATAGGTTGAGCCATCTGATAAGCCGCCTGGGGCTCCTGAGCTCCGAAAGAATACTCTTAGGTAATAGGTATGGGTATCGGAACATCCAGTGGGCCTTCGAGGAATCCGATTGGCTGAAGGCTCAACTGACCAAAGTATATTACCATCGAATGATTATTTATGATTCTGCTCAATTTAAACAATTATTCGTGATAGTTAGGGAGACCGGGACATCGAAGAACCTAATCATCGTTTGAGCCAATTATTGTTAGAGACGAGCTCACGAATGGAGTCGCTGCGTCGGAAGTCATTCTAGGCGACCGACGATGAGTTCGACTGGGGTTGCGGTCTCGTGTGGCATGCTGGATGAATTGAGCCCGGAGTACGAACTCATGTCCTACATTCGCAAATTAGGGCAAGGTTGACTCAGGAATTCGGGCGCTCGCCGGTGGAGCGTCTGTGATAACAGAACTTTGATCAAGCGGTCTCCAAACTCACAACGGGAATTGAACGAGAACATGCATTCTTGGACAAAAAGAGACATCTGTATCTTTCCGAATAAGTGTTCGCTCATTACGCTATTTCCTCTTCCGATCGGCGAGAAGAAAACAAGGAGCTCCTTCTGGCGATCTGGAAGCAGGCGGCAAAGCGGCCAGCCAAAGCAGTCGGTCGACCGATTTCGCCTGGGAAGTTTCCGCTTTTGGCAAGGAGAATTGGCCGCAGACGCTGCCGCAGCTGAAGAATTCCGGTGATGACTCGTCCGAAGTCCAACGCCAACTTGTTCAACGAGCTTGATAGCAGACGCTTCAAGTTACCACGCCTGCGTGCGATTTCTTTCGGGAGAGCTAGCAGCTCCCAGAATTCTGGTCCATTCTTGCGGATCTCGAGAGCCTTCCGATTGATCCGATGCGCTCTTGTGCGTCCGAGCCGATGCGCTACGGATCCGTCAACGCTGCAAGAACAAATGATGATTTCTGGCCGATCCGCTGGACTTTGCCGTTGCTTCGAACAATCTTTATGACGTCGAGTATTCTGCGATGTACGCGGAGAGAGATTGTACAGAGAATCTTTCGTCCTTTCTGCGGCAATCAAATCTTCATTTCTTCGATGAAATTCGGAACTTTCTTCCATCGAAAGTGATTCTCGGTAAGAGAGTGCTTTGATCGCAATCGCGGAGGGGTTGCGAAACAGAGACATTGGTCGCAGGTTTCTGTGAGTCGTTCTACACCGTTCAGCTTACACGCTGTAGGAATGCGGAAGGGGATCAATTTTCCGCGATGGGGGCGGTGACTCCAACGAGACAGAAAACTGTCGAGCATGAACTTTTCGGCCCCTGCTCCATGTCTCGGTCAATCTAGAAGCGCGAGGCTATCGGCAGGAGAAAATGTTATGGAATAAATTAGATAATGTGGAGTTTCTGGGTCGGCCATTGTGGAGCAGCTGCTTATTCTCAGGCCAAGGTGAGAATTTGGTCGGCCGTCATTGAACTGACACGAGTTTCAGAATTTTCCCGATCTTGTTGCCAGAATGCCGGAAGCATCCTCTCATTCTTCGATTGTCGCCCGGAACTCGAGAGCAAGTCTGCGCCCCGGACAAAGAACGAATTCTATGAAATCAATAAATTGCATAATTGATCAGACCACGCTCAATGAGAGCGCTTCACCACTCGCCAGTGAAGCTCCCTATCGTGGTTACCAGATCCATGTGAGGCAGAACTGAGGTATCCGCGCAAGAATTATCTGGCTCGATGATATCAATTTGCGGGGTGAGCGAGTGGTCGACGGGTAAGTCGCAGCAGCCGTGCGTTGGTGAGGCCGGTGCCCCCGTCGTCGGGGAGGTCCCGGCTCCAATCCCCGACTCCAAGACCGGCCGCTCTCTCTTTTCGGAAAACTGAGGTTCTTAGTGAAGACATGGGCTTGCGCTTGCGGTATAGGTCGGTATTGCACGAGGGAGCAACAGCGTCTTCGCCGGCGCCGCTTCTGTCGGAGGAGCGAAAGAAAATCATGAGCTCGATAGAATCCGTAAAATCTAATCGACATCCGGCTTCGCTCCTTCCAGGTGACAGTGACCAACTTCAACTGTGGGAACGCCAATTCGAAACGAAGAGACTACGAGCAAGAAGCCGTCGACTACTTTCGTAATAAATTAGAGCAATACGGGAACGCCGAAGTTCCAATCAAGTCACTGCTAGGACACAGGTAGGCACCGGAAGAAGATCGTCGTGCGGCAAGCATTTTGCTCCCTATAGCGCGGAGTATGCAGAGCCCGGCCTCGACCGACAGTTGGAGCCAACCGGAAAGGAATCCCTGACTTCAGTCGAAGCTCAAGCTCCAAGATCCTCTCTGAATTCGATAATCGATTTTGCAGATCTCAAGCATCGCCAGAAGTACGACACATTTCGGGTCAACATGGCAAAGAATTCCGGGATTTTCTCGCGAAACATCCGGACATTTTTGTGCTGAAGGATGATCACGTGGTGCTTCGTTCGGTCTTGTTGAACGTCGAAGGTGGTGCGGCGCTCATCCATCTGGAAGAAGATTCGATTCCCGAAGAAGAGCCTCCACAGCTGGACTCCCACCTCCGGGAGCAGCTGTGTTCGATTTTTGAGCAGCATGTCAAGTCGCGAAGCTCCGTTTCGGTGGACAATCTCTTCTTACATTTGACGTCAAGATTCTCGAGAGACGTTTACTCGAAAATGATCAAAAGCGCCAGCGATCTGTGCGCCTTCTTGAAAATGAACTCGCACATATTCCACGTGCAGAGCAACATCGTCTCGATTTCCCCCGAGAGACTCAAACAGCAGGTCCGGATTCAGCCTGACCCACCGGCTCCCAAGCAGGCCCCACCTCCGCCCTCCACTCCCGCACAGCCACAGAGTATTCAGCAGCGCATTAAGAATCAAATCCTTAAGGTAAGTTTAGAAAATATACATCCGTCGGCGAGGATCGACCTCTAAAACGCCACGCCCGGATCCTTGACGATCCAGGCGTGTCCAGTCGGGCGATTCTTGACGTCGCGTCGAAACCGAATTCGCCATTTGTTTAATCTTTCTCGTCTACTCAGGTTGTCGCTGAAAACTCGGCGATGGAGTATCGGGATCGCGGAGGGTCGTTCCCGCATCAACAGCCCCCGCCCGTCATACAGAACCCCCAACAGACACTCGAACAGCAGAAATGCCTCCAAGAAATGCTGAGGAACGTCCGTATAATCGCCAAACCGAAGGAGTGCGCTACACTCGTCAATAATATCCTCAACAAACAGTTTGACGTAGTTGCCGTCGACGCTGAAGGCGTCAATCTCGGCATAAAAGGTCCGATGACCCTTCTGCAAATTGCCACGCCCGAGAAACAGGTTTACATTTTCGACCTGCTATCGAATCCAGCCCTGTTAGTTGAAGGCAAGCTCAAAGAGATTCTCGAGAGTGAAAAACTGCTCAAAGTCATGCACGACTGTCGCAACGATAGCGCCGCCCTATATCACCAATTCGGCATCACGTTGAAGAATGTGTTCGATACGCAAGCGGCCCACGCCGTCCTACAACAGCAGGATCACGCGAAGCCGGTCTACAAGGTGAAAAACATTTCGTTGGCAACTCTCTGCGAAATGTACGGTGGCCCCCTGAACCCTCGGAGAGATCAAATGAAAGCACTGTACAGGTAGGTGACACTTTCGATTCCTTTCGTCGGGGGGGGGGGAGGGAGGG